TCCTTCTGTCCTCACATCAGCAGACAGAGGCCTCCTCTCCTGTGGAGCCTTTATGGGGGTCTGGGCACCTTTGGGAGCCTAAGCCCGAGGCTTGGTTTAAGCCTTGCCTTGGCCTTTGGCCAGGAGTACCCGAGACCCTTAGTGACGGGGACACAAGCACATTTCCCAAGTTTGGGGTGAACGATGTAGACAAGGTGACTGAGCTTGCAGCTGCCCCTGTGGGATCTCAGCTTGACTCCCTTGGGCTTTACGAAGGCCTTGGCAGCCCTGGCACGTGTGCTCATGGCATGAGTGTTGTTGACGTGCCTCTTCTTGTTGTGCTTTTTGGCAAAGCGTGTGTTTCTCAGGAACTTTGGATCTATTTCCTTCCTGATGCCTTTTCTGTGCCATTTTCGGAACTGGCTGTGCATGGTGTGGTTCCTGGGCTTGGCCATATCTGCACAGAAGCCTGCAGCACCTGGGACCGGAAGAGTCAGCAGCGATCCTTAAGTTCATCTGTGTCTCCGGCCCCACAGGGTATCAGCTGCTTCCCTCATCCTCATAGGCGATGGCAATTCCTCGTCTTCCGCTTACGACTCCTGTCACTGGTGTCTGACCCAGCTGAGGCTGCAGCCCTTGCCAGCTCCGAGAACTAAGGAACGAGGCTGCAGAGAGAGGGGACTGAAGCTGAGTGGGCGGAATCCGGGAGAATTCCGATGGGAGTGGAGACTGGGCACGCTTACCTGCGGGGCTACTCTCAACCAGCTCCAGCTGAGGCCGTGGGGTCAGGGCTGAGCATCCAGGATCATTTGATGGCTTCCAGGCAGGCGGGGGTCGAAGCTCCCCAGTAATGAGTGACACGTCTGGGATGTCCCACAGTTCCGATTCAGGTGGCGGGAGGGGCACGTGGAAGGAAGAGCCTAGGAGGGAAAAAGATGATCCATACTGGCCCCCTGCTCCCAGGCCCCACCTGTTTGCAGCTCAGGCAGTGCCCCACCACTCACCAGGCAACAAGTCTGCGTAGTGTGTGAGGTGGGGAGCCAGGCCTGGAGATGGCCAGGCAGGGTTGCAGGCAGCCTCCAGCTCACATGGTGACAATACAGGCCGGAAGAAGCCACCAGGAGGCTGGGGAGCTAAGGCACCAAGAGGACAGGCCAACAGCACAAAGACATCCACCTCAGGGAAGTTGGCAAGCTTGGGAGGTGTGGGCCGCCCCAGAGCTAGCACATAGCTATGCTTGCCGGCAGCCCGAGTCAGGTTCCGCAAGTGTGCCAGTGCCTCCCGGTGTCGGGCCACGCCCAGCGTGCCCACCAGCAGCCCCACCACGCGAGCGTCTCTGGCCCTCTCTACCAGATATCGTCTACGTGCCCTTAGCCGCCCAGCCCGGGCACCTTCATCACGGGTCCCCCCTGTGTCTGGGCAGCAGGAGGAGAAGGACCGCTCTGGTGCCCAGCCCAAGAGCAGCCGGCTCAGGTCAGGATCAAGGTCAGGGTCAGAGCTGGCCCCAGAGCCTCCCACATAGAAAGCATCATACTCTTCCAGACACCTTTCTGGGGCCAGGGGGAAGCGACGCCCAAAACGCTGCAGGGGTTCAGGCTCTGAATTGAGGGAGCCCGATGGCAGGGGAAGAGCTGGGCTGGCGACAAGCAGGTCCGCGTACCGTGGGCGAAGGAGAGTGGCCAAGGCCTCTGGAAGAAGGAAGCGGTATCAGGGTTGGGGCCTGGCAAAACAAGAGCTCCCCTGTTCCCCCAGAAGACCGAGGGTGACCCAACGGCAAAGGCTGGGGTCAAGCCCATAGTGAGAACTCTCTGGGATGTACTGAAACGGGAAAATGAGGAACAAAATAGCGGACCCCCCCTCCCTGCATGCCCAGGCAAAACCCCTCACCCAGGGCGTGGGCGCAGGCCGGCTCGCTCAGCAGCGCCACAGGGGCGGTGGGGTCCGGGTTCTGGGCCTCGAAGGCTTGGGCGCAGAGCTCCAAGGCCACAGGACGCTGACCGAAGACGAAGGCCACGGGCAGCGGGCGGGCTGGAGGGCTTAAGCAGGCGGGGCCGAAATGCACAAGGGCCTGAGCTCCCGCCTGCTCCGCACCCAGCACATCCACACAGCAGCTGCAGGGGAGATACCAGGGGTGAGAAAGGTTTCACCGGAGAGTTCCTGTCACCAGTGGGAAACGTGTCCGTGAAGAAAACGATGTGATGGAAAGACGCTGTCACTGCGAGGAGGGCAGTCATCAAACATCACCAAAGAGCAACAGAGCCATTGGGGCAGGCACTGTCCTGGAGGGAAAACACCACAAACCCTGGGTCCCTAGGCCTCCGCCCTGAAGCTCAACGTCACACCTGCCATAGGCTGTGTCCCCCAGAACGAACATTTTCGACCCGGTGGCCTCCTCCAGTCGTGCAGCCACAACCCCAGCATCTCCCAGCAGTTGGTCGGGGAACTGCAAGGCCACCTGTAAGCATAAACCGTGGCTTCAGAAACGGCCTCTCCTCCACCGAGGGTCGTCTCTTCAAGGAAAACATTCCGGGAGTCCCCACCCACCCAACCTTCAAAGCTTCTCGTCCCAGAGAAGCACCTCACCCCCCTCCCCTTCCATCCGCATAAAATTACCCCGAGACCCCATCCTATGGGCGACCCATCCGAGAGGTGAGCCATCCTCCCCAACCTGCCCTCACCCGCTGGCACGCCAGGTCACGGACAAACCCGACGACTCGCTGCAGCTCGTACACTCGGTCCAGGTCCGCGAGAGGCGTGAGCAGCCCGGCGGCCCCCGCCTCCCGCTGCAGCGCTGCCTCAGCGGAGCTGCTGAATGTAGACTCCATGAGGTACAGCTTAGGTGGCGGGAAGCAGCGGGGATCCCTCGGCCTCCACGTCCTCAATGGGTCAGTCCTTTGATGAGCGCGGGGAGCTTGGGACTCAGGCCGCCAGCAGTGGAACAGCTAATCGCGCGTCCAAAACTCCCGTTCCTCGCTACACACGACCCAACCGGAGATTACTTCCGGGTCTCGAGGAGGGGCTGATAGCAATTTACCAATCTCAAACCAGCACGGCTCCGGCTCTCCAATCGTCGCCTACCAAACCGCGCATCGGCCTCACAGCACAAGGCCAACCGGAAGTACTTCCGGGGGAGATGCGGAGCCTTGTGGGTATTGTAGTTCCTTTAGCCCTCCTCGCCAGCCGAAGGGAGTTTTCTGGTTCAGCCCACTGCCCACTCTCAGAAATACCCATTCCCTGAAAATAATTACTCCAGTTTGAGCAACTCCAACTTCTCCAAGGCTGTCTCCTAACCTGCAGAATGGGGCTTGTAGCAATAGTACTTCTAATAGGATTGTTGGGAACCTAAACAACTTAGACACAAAACCTTACAAGTAGTCCTTTGCATATTACTGAAAGCATTGCTATTACCCGCAGTCGGTCAGGTAGGCAAACATTGAGTATTACTGTTCACCAGGCACTATACATCCTCAGAGTTTACAGTTTCTAGAGTAAGAATTGTCCCATTTTATAGGTCAGGAGGCTGAGATTCAAAGAAGCTGTCTGTCTAATAAGACACAGCAAGTCAGTGGCACAATCTATCAAACCTAGGTCTGATTTCAGAAGCTGGGCTTTTGACTTCTCATTCTCCTAGCTCATGTGCTACACTGGCCATGGGGGAGGGGCAGAAAAGGAGGAAGAAGCACTGGTTAGTTAGCATGTAGTAGGAGAAGAGAATTGAGAAATCAAGAGTAAGGTGAGACTCAAGCAGGGGCAGTGGGACAGAGTGGCCTCAGGGGATGGCACATGAAAGGCTGGCATGGGAAGAGATGAATTGAGGATGAAGAATGGACACAGAATTTTTGCAAAAGTTGGGAAAAGAACAGGGGAAGGAATATAAAAGTAATCAGTTCTATCATCTCTAAGGAGACGCAGGTTCACTTCAGGGTGGGGAGAACCCAGGCCCATTCTCAGATCTCACTGAGGAGAAGGCTGGCGTGCCTGAGAGGCAGTCCAGATGTAACTGTGACTGAGGAGACAGAAAGGAAGGGGACCCTGCAAAGGAAGAGCAAGTGACAGGAGCTGTCCCTGGTGCTGACCAAGCCCTGACCATCGAGTTGGGGACTTAGGAGTATACAGACAACATTAGGTCCTGCCTTCCTCTTCCTCTGGGGTCTGCAATGCCTCCTCCCACACATACTCAGTTCCACTTTCTATACCTCTCACCAACCATGTACAAGTTTGGGTGCCTCTATAACCCCACGCCAGAAACCCATCCTGAAACTCAAAGCCACTCTCCAATTCTTCCCTCCCAACTAGACCCAGCCTAAGTCCCAAGTCCTCTACCTCAGAAGCCTCCCATTTATATCAGAAATAAAACTTCCTGCCCAGCCAGCATGGTTGAGTGGTTGAGCAACAATCTATGAACTAAGAGGTCACGGTCAGGGCACATGCCTGGGTTGCAGGCTCAATCCCCAGTGGGGGGCATGCAGGAGGCAGCTGATCAATGATTCTCTCTGATCACTGATGTTTCTATCTCCCTCTCCCTCTCCCTTCCTTTCTGAAATCAATAAAAAAAATTTTTTTTTAAAGAAATAGCCGGCTGGTGTGGCTCAGTGGTTGAGCATTGACTCATGAAACAAGAGGTTACGGTTCAATTCCTGGTCAGGGCACATGCCCAGGTTGAGGGCTTGATCCCCAGGAGGTATACAGGAGGCAGCTGATCAATGATTGATGATGTTTCTCTCTTACTGATGTTTCTCTCTCTCCCTCTCCTTTCCTCTCTCTCTATAAATCAATAAAAACACTTAAAAATAAAATAAAACTTCCTTCATGCAGCCTTCATGGTCCCATTCTCCCAGCTTAGCATGGTAAGTATAGACTAGATCAGCCTTTGTTTAGACAGAACAAGGCAGAACTAGGGACTCAGTACTCAACACTGTTGATTAAATAAATGTACGCATTCATGAACATGGAACTAATTTAAAGGGGAGAGGGTGCTGATACTACTGTAATCCCCATCCCACCCCAAGAGCAATGGCAACATTCTGAGTAGCTCTGGCAGTCTCTCTTCCACCCTAGGAGCTAGAGGTTGGCTCTACCAGTCCCTATCAAGGCCCGGGTCCAAGCATCCTCCCATCCTCATCCCAGGCCTTCTGGGTCATCCAGTTAGGTGGCGGTGGCAGTAGAAAGGAAGCAGAGACAATGGTGCAGTGAGGGTCCAGGTTTACTCCTTGGGGATAGGGAGGAGTGAGGAGTGGGTGGGACGGGAACGCCCCTCAGTAGTCGGCTGTGTAATCTGTGCCATGTAGTCCCCTGCACAACAGTGTGAACTCCTTCACCATCTCCTTTACCCGCCTCTTGTTCACTCGCTCACTGAAGGAGAGAAGGGAGACCAGGTTAGCACCATCCACCACTACTTCATCTTCTCTTTCAGACCTGAGCCCAGGCCCCACCAGCTCTGCTCACCGAAGGATCTGCTGGCTGAAGGTGTCCTTCTGTTCAGGGCTGAGGCGGGCAGAGGGAAAACCAGGTGGCTGCAGGGCCTCCTTGATCCACATGCTGAGGAGGCTGAAGCAGTGTTTGTTCAGAGCAAATAGGATGTCGGCAAAGCAGTCCATGAGGCTGCGGGAGGCTTGGCCCCCAATGGCCTGAGGAAGACGGGTTCTCAGTACCAGGGCCTGTCCTTTCTGCAGCAAGAGCATGCCCCTTCCTCCCACCCCCTCAGACAGTTCCTCTGCCCAACTGCATATGAGAAGTGAGTGCTGCTTTTTGAGAGCCAACTCTGACAACTTTCAGACATTTAAATGAGGAAAAAACAGAATCAGAGAGTTTAGGGAACCAAAGGCTCAAGATTCCCAAAAGGGCAGCTGCCACAGAAACAAGGGCTACCGTACCCACATCAAGCGCCCCCCTGCTCCATCTCACCTCCAGCACTGCTATGAGCAGCATACGGCCATCCTCCTGTACTACCTTTCCCACGGGTTCTACTTCCCCACATCGAGGCAGTAGCTCTGTCTGCAGAGGATAAAGAGGCCTGTCAGCCCAGCTCCTTCAGTATACCACACCTCTACCCTCTGGAGTCCCAGGGGTGGTAGGGGGTCAGGGGCAGCATGGGACTCACAAAGAAGCCACAGGAGGCCTTGACAGTAGGTGCCTCAGGGAACTTGAGGGCCAGCACAGCTGTGGGAGAGGCAGAAGCAGATCAGATAGAGCCTGAGGATCCTCCCAACGGGGCCCCAGGCCCACTTGTCCAACTACCCCACTTACCACACTGGAACACAGCTTTGACATCCAACCGTTCACACAGGAACAAATCTGGCTTCCGCTTCAGAGCCTGCAGGAGGTGGAGCTGGTAAGCCCAGCCCCAGCCAGCTGCAAAGACCACCCCCCCACTCACCTGCCACCCCAGGGCCCAACTTCACACACCACAGGTAGATGCTGTCAAAACCAACTACCCAGCCATCTCTGGGGACACAAACCATCCCAGAGTTCCAGAAGCCAGGAGAGGAGCAGCCAAGGAATGCTGTGTACATGTACGTGTACATGAATGCACAGTGTATATGAGAGAGGTTGGAGGTCGTAAGGCAGATAGCTTGGGTCCCAAGTTACTCCCTGAGCAAACACCTTCCCCTCTCCCCTCCATCAGGGCCAGATTCCTGCAGGCTCAAGTACCAGCAGGGATTTCTCTTGATTCATAGAGGCAGTTTAGGCCCTCTGTATTTATTAACAGAGCAGCAGGAAGAAGAGATGGCAACTGGATGTGGAACACAGTCCAACAGCCTCCTCCCATGTCCTGTCACTCCCCAGACACCCTTTAGATCAGAAAGAGGAAAAATAGGGTAGGAGCCTTGGAGCCATGGCCCTACCTTTCACCCAGGATACCCTGTGTCCAGGGCCATCACAGCCATACCCAGCCCAGGATCCGTGTTGCCATGTGGGGGAATGGATGGAGTACAGGGGGCAGAGAGCCCGCCCCAAGTGGTACCAGGATATGACTGGCACATCCCCAGGTCACAGGAGATGCTCTGCACAGCTCCAGCAGTCATCAAATGCTGCTGTTCCCCAGCAGCCTCCCAAGGCATAACACACAGTCCCCTAACTCTCCAGCCCCTCACATACCTTCCAGTCTGCCATATTCACTCACACGCACCCTCATGGAAACACCCTACTCACCCTCAAACACACTTCCCTTACACACACACACACACTCTCCCACATTTGCAACGCACCCTCACTACATATTCACACACTCAAACCACCACATCCTCAAACCAGCTCCACACCCACACCCTCAATCTACCAATCTTCCAGCACGTGTACTCTCTCAACACATCCATCCACAAATACACAGTCAAACACCCTCACCCACAAAGATACACCCTCACAGATACCCACACATCTATTCATTCAGGCCCAGAACACTCCCTATTCCCCATGCCTTTTACCCTGCCCCCCAAGCAAACTATAAGTTACAAAACAGTAAGAATCGTGCTGCTTTTGCGCACCGTTATATCCTCAGCACCTAGCAGAGTATCAAGCATGTATTACACAATAAATATTTGTGGAATGATTAGTAAAAACCCCCACATTATTTACCTTTACCCACAGGATTCCCCCCAACCTGCAGAAGCCCCCAAACACACAGAACTCCCATATGCTAACCTCACATTCCCACAGCCCAACACATACCTTTTCCAAAACACACATACCCTAATACAGGTCTACCGATACCACAATATATATAACTATCCTCCATAATATACATTCCCACAGCCCAACACATACCTTTTCCAAAACACACATACCCTAATACAGACCTACCGATACCACAATATATATACCTATCCTCCATAATACACATCCCACAGCCCAACATGCACATGCCTCCAACACATATCAACATTCAAAATCCATCAATGCTTAACACACATCAACATAAAACACACACCAACACACATATCTACGTGTCAACTACAAATCCAACATAATACTCATACTACTTACAGCAGTTACATGATTTCTGTTCTCACCAAACCAAACTCAAAACATACAAAGTTCCGACACACTTATACACACATACAACCTAACACAGTCTCACAGTGGAGCCAGCACCCCACCTCCCAGAAGCAGCACAACCTGTCCAGCAGCCCGGCTCTGGGCTCTGGGCTCCATGGAAGCACATTCATCTCAGCCCCTCCCTTCGGAGCCTACCTCTCAAGAGTAGGCTGGAGGCACTGAGGCAGGCAGTTCCCGGCAGGAGCACGGGGACAATGAACCCCAGGCCCTTGAACGTCAGTGCTACTCCTGAACTTCTTGGGCACCCCAGCCACACAGGAGGTGCTGGGCACAGTGACCACCCCCTCCCTTCCCGACCCCCACCAGGCCAGCCCACTGCCTCCCTTCGGGGTCAGCCTCTCCCTGGTCTTTGTAGAAGACTGAGCTAGCTGAGGCAAAGGGGCACTAAAGGAGGATGTTGGGTTGTCAACTTCCACGGAAACAGATGAAGAAACTCTATTCAACTGAACAGAAAAAAAATTTGTCAACAGAAAGCTAAAAATAGGCTTAAATTGAATTTCAACATAAGAGAAAGAGAAAGAGAGAGAACAGAACGTGAATGAATAAAACTAAAACACACCTGTGCCAGGAGTTGCATAAATGAATCAACAATATCAGGATGATCCCTGGGCCCTAAAATATAATAAAGATGGAACTTAAGAAAAAATTATACAAACAGCAACTCAACCTCATATAGTTATGTGGGACTGAGAGCCTGCAGGGAGACAGCGTGGGGGCACATGAGCAGCAGGAAGCAAGATAAAGAAACAAAACATACAAAAACCATGAACTGGGAGAAGCCCAACAGAAAGAGACGGCAAAGTGAAGGACGGGCCTGCCCCAGTTCCCTCCCAAGGGGCCTTCCACCTACTCCCCGCTCCTCTAGGTCAGTCCCCCAAGTTGTCCTGTGGTGCTGGAGCAATGCTGGACTCCACAGAGCTGAAGAAACAGCCCCTGAATTCTTGCTTCGGCTTCTGGCAGTTTGGGGTGGCCCTAAGCTGCTTCCCCATCACTAGCCATCCGACAGGAGGGCAGAGCTGGTTGGTTCTTGGTACCTCCTTTGGAGGCTGAAATGGCCAGGGAACAGAACCTGAGTGGGTACCCCCTCACTTCAATGGCCTTAGTGCTCTTGGTCTGGCCATGGAAGGAAACCTACTGGGTCCACTTAAACCAGAGGGCGCCTTCTTGGGGAGGGCAGTGCCCAATATGCAGTGGGGATGGCCAGGCAACCCATTGGCAGGGCCTAGGGAAGGAGACTGCCTCTTGAGGCCAAAAAATGAAAGTCCCACCCGGCAAAGCCCCTCCACATGGACAAGGCCTCAGCAGAGAGCCAGGCTCAGGCTGAGGACCAGCTCCCACCACCAGCCCACATGACGAAGGGAACCCAGTTGACATGTCGCCCCATGGTGCAGTGGAGGGCAGAGCCTGAGGAAGGGAGGGCAAAACTGGGACAGCATACAGGTGAGGGGACCATCCTGTCCAGCAAGACAACCAACAAGCCCAACAAATAGGATGCTGGACACTATTCTGCCTCCAGTTCTGACAACTGTGGCAAGGACACGGCATGCGCCTGAAGCTCCTGCCCAGGCCACTCCACTCTCAGTTGCAGACACTGCAGGAACACCTGCCTGAGACACCACTAAGGAGCTGTGTGATCTTGCGCAAGCCACAAACACTTGGTTTCCCCACTGTAAAACAGGTAATAATCTCTTCCTTGTTTTCTTCTCCAGGCCACTGATAAAGCCCGCCTCTTTCACATCTGAACCCCGAGTTGCTCAAGTCCTGGAAAGTGAGGCCTGATGGGCCCCATGCATGGGTCACACTGCAGACAATAGGTTTGATATTCAACAGTCGCCCTGCTGGCTTGGGCCAGACAGTGAAGGAGAAAGATTCTGCGGTCAGGGAGCCCGCACCCTCCCTTCTTAACAGTGTCTGGGACCTGCTCCACGCCGGCCTCACTCTGGACACTGGGGATGCAGAGAGAGGAGACCTAGCCTTGTCCTTCAGGGGCTTAGCTTAGGGAGAGGGAGAGTGACAGACGTGAAGGCTGATTATTGAGTGTAACTGGCGCTGTATCAACCGTGTATACATGATGCAGTTCCAGCAGGAAGTTAGATTCAGAGAAGCTTCTGAGGAATGATGCATGGGTAAGGTGTGAAGGAATGAGAGCTCACCCAGTGAAGGGCTTAGGGTACTCCTGAAAGGGAGCAAGGCACAGGGATCAAATGGGACATGATAAGGGAAGAGTCAGGGTGGCTGGACAGCTGGAGGCATGGGGACACTGGCAGGAGAGGACGGTGAGAGGTATGCAGGCGCTACACTGTGTGGGTAGGAATGGGATGAGGGCAATTGGGAGCAATGAAAGGGTTTTAAGCCAGGGAGGGAAAATACTCAGATTTGTGTTTTATAAAGAACATTACAGCCCTAACCATTTGCTCAATGGATAGAGCGTCGGCCTGTGGACTGAAGGGTCCCAGGTTCGATTCCGGTCAAGGGCATGTACCTTGGTTGCGGACACATCCCCAGTCGGGAGTGTGCAAGAGGCAGCTGATCGATGTTTCTCTCTCATCGATGTTTCTGACTCTCTATCCCTCTCCCTTCCTCTCTGTAAAAAATCAATAAAATATATTAAAAAAAAAAAAGAACATTACAGCTGCAGGGTGCAGAATAAATTGGAGAGGAGGGCAGATGCCAGGAAAACCAGTCAGAAAATTGTTGAGGTAATCCGGACACCCTATACGACTTTGGACATGGAGGGTGGGGAGCAGGGGACAGACTGTGGGATAATCAGGAGGCAGGACCACCAAGACTTGTCTCCAGCTAGATAGGAGGAGTGAAAGGAGTAGAGTTGAGGATACCCACATCTGGCCTTCTGGCTCAGCTCTCTCCACACTTTGGACCTACCCAGAGCCCACCACAGCAGAGGACAGTGTCATGTGACCAGACACCAAGGACACAAGCAGAGAGCACTCTGGCTCCAGCTGAGACCCTTGGTGAGCCTCAATCCTGCAACCACGAGTCCAGGCACGATTCATGAGGCTGGTGGAGAGCAGTGAGTTTCATTTCCAGGTTAGAAGCCTGATTAGACAGCAGGGGAAGCTTGGAGCTCCCTTTTGCCAATTCTCTCAGGCTAAGGGCCAGTGAATGGGGACAAGGGGTGGGACCACAGCCATAGGCTTTTGGCCTGGAAGGGAATAAACTTTATGTGTAAAAGCCCCAAGCCAAAGGCCCAAAAGATGCTACTTAATGCCCACAATAATCCTATCAAATATAAGAAATCTCCATTTCACAGATATGGAAACAAAGGCTCTACAAAGGTAAGTGACTTGCCCAAGGTCACACAACTAGTTGGTGGTGATGAGCTTAGAATCTAGGTGTGCCTGATTTCAAAGCCCATGCTCTTTCTACTTTTCATTATATCCCAAAGAAAAGGAGCCAGCCTGGTACCCAAGCCCCTCAGAGCTTCTGGCCCCATCTTTCCCATCATCCAGACTGGCCCTCAGCCCAGCAGGCCAGTAGAAGACATCATTCACTCTCTTATCCACTTCAATCTAAGGTGTCAACTATTTGCAAGGTTGACAATTATGCTGTGCTCAATCCCATAATTTTCCCATCAAGTCCCATGTGCAACTCAGGGGACAGAGGAGAACATAGTGGGCAGCTTTGGCTCCCCAGTCAGGGAAGCAGAGGCAGTGGCAGTGGCGGCAGCAGCAGAGACCTTGGTCAGGACCTACCTTGCTGGAAGAGAGTGAGTGTGACGGAGGTGACGAGCAGGAAGAGGGCCTCGATTGGGGGAAAGTGGGCAGGCTCGTGGGCAAATATGTGGACCAGCTATAACAAAGCAAGAAATGCTGGTCAGCTGAGGCCCTGCAGCCCTGGAATGCAGGTGAGGACCTCTGGCAGGGCAATCATCAACCCACTCCACCCACCTACCCCATCCTGGTCAGACAGATCTCTAATTAGGATGAAATCCAGAAGACTGTTATCCTGATCAGAAGGCCCACCTGTCGAGTGAGGTCAAGAGCAGAGGCCTGGGGGATGGTGCTGTACATCCGACCCAGCATCTCACACAGCTGTGGCACCATGGGGGCAAAGTCATCCAATAGTGTCTTAACAGACTTCTCGAAAATAGCGCACACCGCCTTGGGAGGAAGCAAAGGGGCCCATGAAAGAGAAAAAAATATTGTATTATAATCATCAAATTTGCTAAGACACTAGATCTTAATTATGCTAACTACTAAAAAGAAATGCTAATTATGTGACACAATAGAGGAGCTAATTATGGCTATAATGGCAATTTTATCATGTTACAATATAGAAATGTATCAAATTAATATGTTGTAGACCTTAAATTTACACATTGTTATATGCCATATATATTTCAATTGGAAAAAAAAAAAGAAAAAGAAAAGGGGCCCTGGTCAGCAAGTCACAACAGGCTGGAACAGAATGGAGGCCTGGCACAGAGGAGGCCTGGAAGGGGCCCTTACCTATGAGCCTTGCCTGGCTCTGCGAACCAAGGAAGGTAAGGAAGTCTCCCCCTCACCCTGAAAGGCAGGAGGCAAAAAGGCCCTTTTCAGAGGGGCACAGATGGAACTTTGTAACTCTTCCTACTCACATCTCCACTATTTCCTCTCAGGGAGCAGCAACAGCAACAAAATCCTGAGTTAAAAAGAGACCAAAGGCAGGTCTCTGATGCGAAAGTGGACCCCTGACTGTCACTCAGCCACGTCATAGTCCTTTGGTTGAGCATTTCTTGTGATACTGGGAAGTTCTGAATGCCTTCCCAGAGGATTCCATGTATCTATGGAAAAGGATTTGCCTCCTTTATTTCCTCAAGACCATCGCAGGCTTAAGTGGGGCAGCAATACCTTCCTCCTGCTCCACCTCTGAGAAAAGTCACCATGGGGCAGAGAGCAAGGGTTGGGGCTCACCTCCACCACCTGGGCATCATTCAGCCATTTGCTCAGCACCTTCTGGATAAGCTGGAAGACCTGCTGCAGCACCACTACCACCTGCAGACACAGGAAGAAGATGCCCCCACAACCACTGTCACCCACTGGAGAAGGACCTGGTAGTAGGAAGTAGGCCAGGAGTTCAAATTCAAACCTATTACCCCAGACTGCGTATTGAAGACTCAATGCATGGGACCCTGGCAGAAGGAGTGTTTGCTCAATGCCCTATGAATGAAAAAGGATATTTGAGTACTAGGGATCCTCTTAGAAGAAGCCTCAAATTGTAAAGCAGGGATATTATGAGTGCTTTATAAGATTACTAAATTGTAAGGGGTATCGAGTGGGTGGAGGTGAGGAAGGCATACAGGGAATAAATGGTGATGGGACAAAAAAAAAAGAGGAAAGAGGAAAAAAAAGATTACTAAAACTTTGCAACTTCCTCTCTATTTCTGCTCAGTAAAACTCTTAGTGCCAAAAGCCCACAGGCTTGCCCCAGATAGGCTTAGAGTAGACAGCCCAAGGGATGCATAATACAGGCAGCTTATGCAGGAGCAGAGAGCAGAATGAGGTCCTGGGAGGTGAGGGAAGGCAGGATGATGACTACCATAGAAGGGGCTCTGTGGCAGAGATTTAATCTGGAGCCAAAGGGTAACTGAAACTAGGGTGGGGAGTTGAGCAGAGGGGCCAGGACACTGTGGCTCCCTTCTCTTAAGGAGACACACTAAAGGGGGTACAGGGAACAATGATCAAAGCAGTCCCTCACATTTGTACAAAACTTCACAGTATGCAGAGTACTTTCACTCAAGACCACATCTGCTACCCAACAGTTCTATGAGATGAGCAAGCCAATATTCTGATGTTCACAGTTTTGAGTGAGAAGCTAAGGCTTGCCCCAGATCAAATAGCTTATAGTGGTCACCCAACACCCTGTGCCTGCTCGAGCTTACCACAGCATTTATCACACTGCTTTGTGACAATCTGTTTAATGTATTTCCTCTAGATTGGGAGCAACTCGAAGGTAAAAACTATTACTTGCAGAGCATGTACCGTAAGCATCCTTGGTGCCCACAGGGAACAGTGAATGCTGAAGTAGAAAGGCCCTGGAATTAGGGGTTAAACAGGGGCCCATAATTATTACATCACTTAGGGGTTGAAAGATAATGTCAGTGTCCCTTATGGGGTGGGGGAACCACAATGACATCATCCTAGTTGGGCTGGGGACAAAGACACCACCCACAGGGTGAGATAATGACATCACTCCCCAGAGAGAGGGAGGCAATGATAAGCTCGTTCACAAGACCAAATGCATCATGCCACAAGGGACAATGACAATATTACCCACAGAATTGGAGGTGACAATGACATTCCCACAGGGTTGGGAGGTGGGGGCAATGGCAATGACAACATCACCCACGGGGTTGGGTCCCTGTGGCACTGGCAGCTTCCGGAGCTCAGAGCCTTCATGATCATCCTCATGATGACTGACATCCAGCGTGGTGAAGAGGTTGGAGAGAAGCCCCAAGATGTGGACAATGGCCAGCTTGTTGGAGGGATTAGGCTGTGGGGAGAAGAGAACCAAGTTCTGGATCTTCCAGTCCCAGCTTGGCCCCCTGGCCCAGCCCTGACTGCCACCTCCAACCCTATCCCTCAGCAGCATAGTCTACACAAAGGGTAGCCCCAGAATCCCACCCCTGCTCCTCCCTGGCCACATACACACACACCAGCTCTCACTCACTATCTCCTCTGCCAGCTTCTCCAGCTGCTGGATATAGGGCGAGATGAGTGAGTGCAGGTTCTTAAGGATCTCCTCCACCTGCAGGGCTGACAGCAGGAAGCCCAATGCCTGCATCAGCCACATGCACTGACTTGTCTGTGGGACAGAATATGGAGGGTCAGTCCTGGACACATCTGGTTGTGGATGGGAGAATGACCCAACTGGAAAGCTTCCAAGAACAGAGAGTAAAGAACAAGGCAGAAGATAGGATTTCTGTGGGTTCCTGCAATATTCCCAGGGAGCCCCCTAGAAACTTTTGAGCTCACCTTGTGGATCTGTTTCATTAGCACATCCTAGGGATAAAAAGAAGAAATACTGTATCAGAGCAGTGCAGAGTGTGCCTGAGGCCCAGTTCCTCCCAGGGCCCCTGCATACCTGGGAGACTGCCACGATGTTGGCAGCATAGGGTGGCAGGTCATACTTGCATTCTCGGCAGATCTTTTTGAGGGTGGACACAGAAGAGACAGAGAGCTCAGGATTGCCTAGGGCATGCAGTACAAGGGGAAGAACGCTGTTGATCATGACGGGGTGGTCGGCCAGCCATTCAGACAGAGCTCCTGGAGGAAGAAGGGAGAGAGAGAGGAGAGGATAGTTGAGGCAGACCATGTCCCTGTGAGGCAGGCAGAGCTGCCGGGCAGGGTCAAGTTGCAGCCCCAGTACAGAGCACTGTTCATTCAGAGGACTGAATGGGCAAATATGCATGCACATGATCAAACATGATCCTTAAAGCTGAGAAGCAGGACTAGCCTCACTGAATTGCAGGTCAGTACACTCACTAGGAAGGACCCTTAGATGTGCCAAGACAGTTAGTTGGTTGCAACACCAACTGTGTGTGTGGCCATGTGTATCTCTCATTTTGGATGGGACCCAGGAGGCTGGCTGTAGCTGGGGATGGGTGCCTATGGCTCTAGACCAGGGGTGGGCAAACTTTTTGACTCGAGAGCAACAATGGGTTCTTAAACTGGACCGGAGGGCCGGAACAAAAGCATGGATGGAGTGTTTGTGTGAACTAACATAAACTCAAAGTAAACATCATTACATAAAAGGGTACGGTCTTTTTTTTCAATAGTTTTATTCATTTCAAATGGGCCGGATCCGGCCTGCGGGCCGTAGTTTGGCCACGGCTGCTCTAGAATGTGCTCATGGGTGTGTACCAGGTCTCACCAATGGTGAACATGACGGTATCCGCCAGCTGCACGTTGCTGATGCTGATCCGTGGGATGAGGCCAATGAGCCCAGGCACCACATCAGAATAGTTGACATCAATGGTCTCTGCGATGGATTGGAAGCCATAGAGCAGGGCTTCTGTGTGCTGGGGAAAGAGGGTGCCACTGGCTTGGCCGAAGAGCAGGGTGTGACAGATCTGGGAGGGCTGAGGGAATCAGGCTTGAGGGGTACCTGCCAGGAGTAGGGCTCCTCTGAGCTGGTGAGCAAACGGCCCAGCTTGTCATAGAGGTTGCTGAGCAGCTCGGCCCCCAGCATTTCATAAACATACATGAGCGTGTCTGAGATGTCCACCCTGAGAAGCAGATGAAGACCTTGTACACAGCCTGGATCTTGCCCCCAAGCCCAGGAACCCACCCTGGTAACCTCACAACCATGTAAAAGTACCTAGAAAATAGAGAAAGGAGCCCCAGGATTCAGGAAGCCTGTGCCTGGGCCCCTCCCCTCGTGGCCTTCATTATATCAGGACTCCACTTAGAGCTAGGATTGACCTGCTACCATCACCTGTAAATTCGGAACTGCTCCTTCTCATCTGAGGACCAGAATCCATATTCCTCATCAGGAGGGAACTGGGCCTTGTGCAGAAGCACATCCACCAGCTGGAAGTAGACTGGCCTGTACACTTGCTGGTACACAGCCTGCTTCTCTGCCTCAAAGGACAGAATGTCATCCTGAGAGCCAGGGGAGAGTATTAGCCACCTCACCAGCAGCCACAGAAGCCCATTAGCCACCTTCTTCCATCGTGGCCCCCTCCTACTGGAGGTCACATAGACACACCTGCAGTGTATACCAGAAGGTGAGTGTCAGGGAGCTGGTGGTCTCATTGACAGGATAGTGGCCAGGGATACCCGTGCAGAACATGATCATGTTGACCAGGGCCAGGAAGCTCTGCCAGTGTTCCACTTGGTCAAGCAAGGCCCTTGGAGGAAGGAGATATAGAAGGTCACTCAAGAAGGCGCCATAACCTCCCCTCCTTACAGTGCCCTGCTATCCCACCCCAGCTGCTCCACTCCTCACCGAGAGTGGTTCTCGCCAAGGGCCACAGCAATGCGACAGATGCCATGGGAGGTCTCCATGTCCCCATTCTGCACGGCCTGTCGCAGTTGCTCCTGCAGTCCCAGCACCAGTGGGATGAGTTTCAGGAGTGTGTTCACATACCTGGAGGCATGCGGGGAGGAGACGCATCAGAGCTGTCTGCCCATCCCTCACCAGATTTGAAAGAAAGGTACATTCGCCCAGTTTTCCATTAAAGTCCCCCTCCTCACATCAAATCCAAAGCAAAAGAGAGATCAGGGCCTACATGGCAGCTGCCCATGTTGGGAAGAAGCTTAGGTCAGAGACCTCCAGGAAAACTCTGGAAAGGAAGTATAAGATCAGTATTATGGGTTGAATTGTATCTTCCTATTAGAATTGATGCTGGAATGCATTAAGACGTTGGGGGAGATTGGATAAGTCTTATCCTCTAGTTACTAGTACCTCAGAATGTAATCTTATTTGGAAATAGGGTCAATGCAGACAAGGTCACAGAGTAGGGGGCTCCTAATACGACTGGTGTCCTTATAAGAAGACATCCACGTGAAGACTGAGGCCTCCAGGGAGAATGACATGTGATAACAAAGGCAGAGATGGGAGTTACACAGCTCCTGCCAAGGAACACCAAAGGTTGCCAGCAAACCACCAGAAGCTAGGAGGAGGCAAGGAAGGAATCTCCTATAGGTTTCAGAGGGAGCTGATACCTTGATTTCAGACCTCTAGCCTCTACAAGCGTGAGACAGTAAATTTCTGTTGTTTACCCAGTGTGTGGTACTTTATGACAGTAGGTCTAGGAAACGAACACAGATACTGTTCGGGGAGAATGAACAGGATGGGAGATAGAAGAGTTAACAGGAACCATATTAAAGACTTTAAAAGGCAGCAATAGCTCTACGAGCATCAATCCTCACCTTCCACTTCACCCACTACCAAACCCCAATTCCTATGTAATCTGGTAGCAGTAAGAAGGGAAGGGAAAGCAGATGATGAACTGAGAGAGCTAGGGCAAAATGAATAGGACTTGATGATTAACTGGGTGTGAAGATGGGAAAGATTTAGGGAAAACCCTCAGGTTACTGACTAAACAACCAGGTGGCTAGTAGAACTATAGTCCTGGAGGGGTGGGTGGAGAGGGACAGTACCAAATTTAATGGGAGGCTGAGGGCGGTAAATTCAGTGTTAGGCATGTTGAATCAGAGGTACCTATTGAGATATGCAGGTAGAAGTGTCCAGAGAGTTGGTATAAAAACATGAAACTCAACAGAGAGGTTAGAGCAAGAGACATAGATGTTGGAGTCATCAGAGAAGAGCTGGTAATTGGAGTTATAGGAGTAGATGAGAACTGCTCAGGAAGAAAGTGTTGAATGAGAGAAGACGTCCAGAGAAGCACAATGACCCCTAAAGGAGGGGCAGAGGAAGCACAGTACACAAAAGAGACTGAGAGAAGCTAGCTCCCTCCCACTGGTCTCCTCCCCAGTAGCCTGCTCTGTGGAGACAAGATTAAACAGAGGAAGTGAGTGACACTCTCATCAGGGAATCAGATGCTTGGGACTCCTCTGCTGTCAATCATGCCATCACCATAGCAATCTATGGAGAGGAGGTAGGGAGAAACTGCGTGCCCAGGAGTTCAACATGGACTTGCCCCAAGCAGGTTGTTAGGTAAGTAACCTAATAATCTTAGGGGTAAAATGTGGGCAGAGGCAACCAGTCCAATATGTTGGTCTTCTCCACACCCCCGTTTTGGTGAGATAAGACATCCATACCAGGATATCTCAGACCAGAGACAGCCCCAGAGGGCGCTGCCTAGAGACAGCTGGGATAGCTTGTCTCATGACCCTGACACAGGCTGTACCACCAGACAATGGGCACCTTCAGGCCAGATCTGGCACAAAGAGCAGGGGCAGGGCCAAGGACAAGATCCTCAGAGTTCCCAGCTGCTGAGATGGGGGCAGGAGATAGTGCCTGCCCCCTAGCACTCCCACTGCATTCCAAAGCTGCTCACACCTGCCAAAATTCTTGTATACAATAGGTCCTCAATGAATTTTCTTAATTTCTCTTATCTGAGTTTTATAATAAGATAAATCAAGGACAATATAGCCCAGAAGGACTCAGAGTATTACTCAAGGTCATATAGCAAGTTAGAGATAGGTTCCAGGCTGAGAAAGACCCTTATACTGCTGTAGGTCTGCATCTCTTTCAGGGTCCAACCTGAATTTCCCCAAAGGATCTATACTGATCTCAGCCCATATCTCAAGTCCTTACTGATGGGGGCTTCCAAGAGCCCAATTCACCTTCTCTCCTCCCCCAGTCACCAATGAAAAGCTTTTCCAGAATTAAAAACATATTGGGGCGGGGGGGCATTTCAAAGGAGAGTCAGGCAAGCAGCGGCAGTTGTGGAGGAGAGGGAAAAGGGTGGCAAGTACAAGCGTAGTCAAGGGGAGGGCTGATGTCCGGAAACCTGGGTGAGGCGGTGGCTGGCTGACCCAGAAGTCAAAACCACTGAAGGTGACTTTCTCAAGCCAAAGCTAAGAAACTAAGACCACAACAGCAAGGTCCAAACTCGAACTCCAAGCTGGGTGCAGCCCACCCACTGGGGAAACTCCTGCATAGATTTCTTATCCCTGGGCACCTGTGCCTGAGACTTGTGAGTAGACAGGAAAGCACACCCAAAGCCCCTAAAGTTTGGGGAGGGAGATCAGAGAGGATGTCTTTAGTGCCATGGCTGAGACTGGGTTCAAGTGGGCTGACTGCAGTTCGTTAGCTGGAGCTGCTGGGGCAGGGCTGCTGGGACTCCTTAGCTGCCACTCACACTGAGCTCAGCCCAGACCTGCAATTACAGATCCAGGAGCAGAACTGAAAAGGGGAAGAGTTGCTAAGCAACAAAGGGAACTGCAGCCAATAGGCACTTAGGAGGCTGTGTGCTTTCTCACTGGCTTCTTGCTTGCTCATTGGTTCATAGAATAAGAGGCATCAATTACCTGCCAAAGCCCTAGAGACTGGCTGGGCGGGTAAACCTGGGTGTATCCAAGGACATCCCACATCACCCAGGCACTGGCCCTGGCCAATTCCCCTGACCCAACTGTCTGAGCCCAGCCAGCACTTGAGCTCTGGCTGCCACGGAAGGCCTTGACCTGAGCCTTGCTACCCACCTTAAGTTGAAAACGTGGGAAACCAGGGGAAAGGCATCATAGTAACTGCTCATGCAACAATGATACTAAATACTAGCAAATGCGGTTTCTGGAGTACACAGGAACCATGCTAGACCTTTCACAGACCTCCTCTTATTTAATCCTCATAACAAAATATTCTTTACAGAATACCAGGGACAGGCCCTGTGTACATTATTCTAGTTAAATCACTAAAACTCTGTGAGGTCAGTATGATCACATGCATTTTACTAATGAAGAAAGAGGTTTCCCCAAGGTCTCAGATCTAGTAGATGGACCCTCTGGGATTCAAGCTCAGATGTGATGAAATGCCAAGGCGAGTGCCATTAACCACTCCCCTATGCTGTCTTGTTCAGTGTTATTTCCCCCTCCGATTCTGCCAGGGGTTCCCAAAGTCCCATTTCTGAAATGTTAGTGTCAGGCCTCCAGTCTTCCCCCGGCCAATTCACCTTATTCCAAAAATCTCATCATGCCATTTTCTCTGCTTAAAATCCTTTCATATTTTTACATCATCCTCAGGATGGAAACTGAAATCTTAAACTGACAAGATTAAGGCTGATAAGGTCCTACAGGATCTGGGCCCAGATCTCCTAATAACTGGCCCTTAAACCCTGCTGTCTAATCATACCTTTCATCTGTCTGAAATGTCCTCGCCATATCCATCACCTCCATCTGACTAACTCTTACATAGCCTTCAAAGAATAGCTCAGTTGTCACCTTTTCTGGGCAGCCCTTCACAACCCACAGACTTGGTTCTTACAGCCCCTCTGCTCTCTCCATTAGAGTATTCATCACGTTGACTATACTTGCCCATTCATGTATCTACTAGGTTTTGAGCTCCTGATTTGCAAAAATCAACTCATTTATCTTTATGCTCCTAGTCCTCACTACAGGGCCCAATACACAAACAGGTGCTCAACAAATGTTTGCTGAACACCTTACTACTCTCATTTTCTTCGGAGTCCTTGAATGTGCATGGTGTGTCTGACACAGGTCTTTGCACCTGCTGTTGTTTCTGAAGCTTGTAACATTCCCTACTCCCCCAACCTCTTCCACCCCTTGTCACTTTGGCAGCTCCTACTTTTCATCTGTTCAAAAAATATTGAATGCTACCAAGTGCTGCAGGCACAATATGACCAAATAAAATGACAGAGTGCCTTCCTCACAGAGCTGAGAGACTAATGGGGAGACACACATTAATTTATAATGAAACCATGTTATGGACTAAGAAGGAAAAACACCGGGAGCTCTGAGATAAAATAATAGAAAACACCAAACTTAGTCTTAAAAATCATGAAGAACGTGAAGTTTAAACTGAGACAGAAGTGATGTGTCAAGTACACGTGATGGTTCAGAGCCTGGAAGGAGCATGGGACATTCAAGGAATTGAAAGGACTGTGAGAGTGAAGAAAGCAAGGAGATTGGCATGAGATGAGGCTAGAGATGTCATATTGTGCAGCATCTCTGTGAATCAAATTAAGGATCCTGAACTTTACCCTATGAGCAGTAAGAAGCCACAGAAGGGTTCTGAGCAGAAAGGAAATACTGCATACTCATTTTCAAAAGATCACTCTGGCTGCTGGGTGGACAATGAAGGAAGGAAACAAGAGTAAAAACCAGGGGATTAGCGAGAAAGCTCTACAATAACCTGGGGAGAGGTAATGACAGCTTGAACTAGAGTGGTGGCAGTAGAAATGGAAAAAATAGATTTGTAATACGGTCAGGGGCAGAACAGCCAGAACTTGGCTGAGAGAAAAAAGAGTCAACTATTTTAACTGAATAATTCATTGGATGGTTAGTTGTCTAGTGTCTGTCTGTCTCCCTCTCTGAACCATGGGACAGGAACCATGTCTCGACTGGTTCCTTGCTGTATCTCCAGCACAGGACCATGCATGCAGTAGGCACTCAAACAGTGTTTACTGAACAGATGGATGGATAGATGCATGGATGGCCAAGCAGACTGCCCCACACTGGGAAGGTGGGGACCAGCTCACCTCTGGGCATCAGGCTGTGAGATGGCATTGACAATGGCCTCCACACTGCTGTCAAAGAGCTCCGAGTCCTGCAGAGCAGCGAAGGCGGCCTGAATGAGAGCCTCACAGTCCTGCAACGGCACCTCCAGCTGCACCCAGCTGGAAAAGCACTTGAGTACCTTCTGACGCACACAGCTGGGTGAGCTGGGCTGCTGCAGCAGCTGCTCCAGCAATGGGAAGACAGCCCCACACTCCACGGCCAGGCTGGCCCGCACCAGGCCTTTGCGATACTGGGGCAGGCGGCTGGTCTGAAATTCCTCAGGCAGCACTGTCAGCAGCTCCAGCAGAGCCAGGCAGCGACCCTGGCCATCCACCGGTGAGTCCTCAGCCTGGAAGAGTCGTACCATATCTGCCACAGCACATGGCCAAGCGTCAGGCATCATGCTGAGAGCTAACGAGGCCAGCGCCACACACAGCCGAGTCAGCACAATCTTGGAACCACTGGCGAAGCGAGTGATCTGAGTGAAGAGCTGCGCCTTTAGACTTTCATATTGGTCAGTGGGGATGTCACTCCAGTAGCGAGAGATCTTGATGTGCAGGGCACTGGCCCCAAAGTACTGGATCTCAGGCACCTTGTCAGGCTGTAGTAACTGCCAGCTGAAGTGCCAGGCCTGTGGGGAGACCTGGGCCTGCATCAGCCACTTCTGAGCCAGGTTCTTGTTCTCAATGTTGGGGTCGTAGTAGAGCTGGTGCAGCGCCTGCGGGACAGCACAGGATTGAGCAGGTGCTGGCCACTCTGGATCCTGCCAGAGCCCAGAAAACAGGGTTTGATTTGGTCCCGCAATACCGCTCTCTCTTTCTGATTTGGGGGGGCTGAGCAGAAAGGGAGAGCTCAGGGCTCTGCAGTTTCCTGGGCCCAGGATCCTGCCGATATTTTGAGAACCTGAATTTTCTTCATGCTCTACTATAACCTCTTCTCCTTATAGCAAAACGTTATGGATTCAAAGAGTGAACCTCCACAGGATAGCGCGCTCACACACACACACACACACACACACACACACACACAAAGGGGAGGCTGAGCTCATCAAAGGGGAGGCATGTGAGGTAAAGGGCAAGGCCCAGGTGGAAGGAATGGCTCCACAGGGATGAAGCTAAGCCTGAGAAGAACATGAAACAGCCTGAGGGGCCCTGACCCTCCCAGGCACAGCTGTTCCAATCAACTCCAAAAGCTCCATTTAGCTCCCCCAGGATCATCCCTAGGTCACTCCAGATGCTGGCACCACAGCCAGTGTGAAATCTGAGAAGGACTAAGACTTTGCCAGGCAGCCCTTGTGCAGAAACAAAGTGGAGAAGGGGATGAGAAAAGCCCTCATAGAGCGCCTGGAAGAGCCACAGAACTGGTCCAGAGAAGTCTTAGCCTGCTGCCTTGGCAAGTGCCCAGCCTGGAATTCTCAACTAGCTGAATCCCCAGGGTCCCCATTCCATTGGGACTTCACACAGCAAGAAAATAGAGGTTTATCTCCCTGGTAGCACACGGAACAGTGCAGCACCATGCCAACACTGCCCAGCCCCATGGGGTGGAAGAGTGAGACCAGGCCTCAGGCGGCCTCAGCAGTCTCCATCCAAGTAGGCTTAGCCCTATCTGTCCCTCTGACCACCAGTTATAGCCACCGTTGCTGTTTGGCTGCTCCAGGAGGCAGAGAACAGAAGCCGAAGGGATGCATCCTCACCATTGGGTATGGCAACAGGGCTCCAGAGTAACAAATGAGCATCTGCAGCTATTCCTCATTTCTCATCAAGGCAGCCCTACCTCCCCATTAATCCTGGGGGATGGAGGAGGTCATTCTGCATTCCAGGCCTCTGTGGGCGAACCCAGAAGAGAACCAGAGAAGCAGTGTCCAAAAGAGATGGACTGGGCAGTCTGGGAGGGCGCTGGCAGGAAGCTCGATGGGCAGGTGGGTAGAAAAGAACCCCGAGGCTGCCAGCAGAACCAGGCCCCTGGGACCCAGCGCAAAACAAAGGGGGCCAGCCTTCGTCCAATCAAGGAAGGACCCTTCTCCAAGAGAGACTGAGAACATAACCCAGACTGTTTTAGTCCCCGGTTATTTTCTGAGCCCCTGGCTCAACAAAGAGGGTCCAGGACGGCTCAGCATCGGCATGGTTCCTGGGGACTGAGCCGCAGGTCTCCTGGGTTCCTGGGTTCCCACTGCACTGGAGCTGGAGAAGAGCCAACCTGGCTGCAGGTCTAAGCCAACAGACCCCCCCGAGTATGTCTCCACAGAGGACCCATGTCTGAGGAAAGCCACATACAGCCCCTTACGACACTGTAACACTGCTGTCCTGCCTGCCCGGAGACAGCAAATGCCAGCTGTCCTGGGGGCACCAGCCCAGCGGGCACCCAGCCCAGGCCTAGGCTCTGGCCTTTGCGTCAGTGCCCAGAACTTGTGCTCTGTCACCGGAGTGCCCACCCCGGGGCCCTCATACCTTCTCCACGTTCTCCACAGTGAAGTCCAAGGCTGGTGCTGCTCCAGCCCCTGCAGCCCCCGGCTGCTCCTCCCGCCGGTCCATCTCTGCTCCTCCCCAGCAGGGAGGGGGACCCTGACCTGACTCCTGCCCCAGCCCCTTGGCTGCCGACCCCCTGGCTAGACCCCGGCTTGAGGGCCCAGGGAGTGGTGTGGTGACAGGGGACCCAGGGTGGGCATGGCTGCCGAAGCCTCCCCACCTCGATTGGGGATGGGGGCCTGGCCAGAAACCAAAAGGGGTGGTCTTAGGAGATCTACAGAGCGGGGTGCCGAGGGGGAGCCCTCAGGGAGGAGTTCTCAGGCGGGGGTCCCAGTGGTAGGTCACGGCTCTGTTTCCAGAATCTACGGGGAGGAAGTCATAGGGGAGGGAGGCCTGTGGGGGAAACCGAGCCCCAGCCCGTGAGAGGTCACAGGGTCGATGGCCTGTACCCACAACACCCGCGTCGGAGTGCGCTCCCGGGTCCTACGAGGAGGTCACTGGGGTGGGAGGTCACGAGAGAGAGCCCTTGGCGGGTTACGGAAGGCGTTCCAACGAAGCGCGGGGGTGCAGCATCGACACTCTGGGGCGAAGAGTCCGTAATGTTGAGGGGTGGTGGCAGAGCCCCTCCGCTGGGCCTGGCCCTCACTCTTCTCACCGCCCGGCTCCGGCCCCGCTA